ATCGATCTGTAGACTTGGATATAAATCGATTCAAAGCAGCAAGCCGACCTATGAGTCCTTGCACTCCTTTAACCGAGGTTGGTGACTTCAAGTCCATAACAGCTTTGATCTTTTGGGGATTTGCATCTATTCCCCTTTGACTGACTACATAGCCTAGAAATTTACCCGACTTCACCCCAAACGTACATTTTTTAGGATTTAACACCATGGAGTAATCGCGTAAAATTCCAAACATTTCATTCAAATGGGTTAAATGATCACCAGCATACACTGATTTTACAAGCATGTCATCTACATACACTTCCATGGTTCGTCCTATTAATCTAGAAAACATTTTGTTGACCAACCTTTGGTAAGTGGCCCCGGCGTTCTTCAATCCAAAGGGCATCATGGTGTAGCAGTACAGGCCCCTTGCCGAGTAAAAGGAAGTGTGTTCAGCCTCCTCAGGATCCATTGGAATTTGATTGTATCCTGAATATGCATCCATGAAGCTCATCAGCTCATGGCCCTAAGTAGCGTCCACCATGTAGTCGATGTGTGGTAACGGGTAACTATCTTTTGGGCAGGCAGTGTTGAGGTCGGAAAAATCGATGCAGAGACGCCACGTCCTGTTACTTTTCCTCACCAAGACGGGATTGGACACCCAAGTCGGGTATTTGGCTTCTTTAATGAACTTGTTATCAATGAGCTTGTTAACTTCCTCTTCTAAGGCCTGTTGTCGATCTGGACCGAGTTTCCGTCTCTTCTGGATGATAGGTTTGATTGTGTGATCAATGTTGAGTCGGTGGCAGGCTACCTTCGGGTCTATCCCTTTCATGTCTTCGTGCCTCCAGGCAAAGACGTCGGCGTTGAAGTTCAGGAACGAGACGAGTTCGGTTCGAATGGGCCCTGGAATGTTAGCTCCAATACGAAGTTGTTTATCACAAATTGGTTCATCAACATAAATGATTTCTATTTCCTCGGACGGTTCAGCTCGGTTTCCTTGCTTCTTTTCTTTGAACTGGCTACGTGGATCTAGCTCATCTTCTTCCATGACGGGTTCCTTTCCCGATCTTCTCCCCCTATCTCGGGTAAGATCTTCTCCCCCTATCTCGGGTAAGATCTTCTCCAATAAGCTCACTGAAGTTGGAAGTGTTTGAGGTCGGAATTGCCGATGTCGGCTGAGTCTCCAACAGAGTTGGAGTAATCCCAAGATCGACACCTTGAATGTCTCCAGGAACTGAGCTCTGCAGAGTTCGGGTACAGTCGATCTTCTTTTCCTTCTCCTTAGTGTACATTTCTATGTTGTGGACCTCTCGAGAAGGGATTGCTAAGATTAACTCACGAGCTCCTCGCTGATCCCCATAATGAGTTCTCTCGCCATCAGCGGTTGGAAACTTGATTGCATAATGAAAAATGGACACTGCTGCTCGTAACTTGTATAGGGTTGTCCTTCCAACGATGACATTATATTCATTATCGATGTTCGTGATTTTGAAGTTTTCCATGATGACCTTGGAAGTTTGCCCATGACCTCCGAACCTGATGGAAAGAGTGATTTCTCCCAATGGAAGAGACACGCTCCCGTTGAAACCATGGATCTTATCGTTGCAAGGACGAATGTCGGCTGGGTCAAGTTCGAGCTTCTTAAAGGCCTGAAGCATAAGGATACTTGAGTATGCACCTGTATCCACCATTATATGGTGGACTGGAATTCCGCAGATTGGGGCGGTTTATGTGTAATGCATCAGAATGAGGATGATCGAACAAGCTCGCATCTTCCAATGTGAAGGTGATCGGACAAGTGCGCGAGTTAATCATTTCTCTCAAATCGGTTGTCATTACCTGCTTTCCCGAGTTGTACGCCTTTCTAGCATATGCTTTAGCTTGCCGATGTGAGGATGTCAACTCTTCTCGGTTGGTATTAACTCGGGGAACAGAACCCAACCGAGATGAAATTTAAGGAGTGTGGTCGGTGTTAGAACTCTCAAGTTCCCTATTTCTCTTCCCAATTCGGTCTTCAGCCGACCTGGACTCGTTTGGCCTGAGCATGAAGATCTCCTTTTCTCCTTGTTGCAGACGAATTCTTTTTGTGTTCATTGCTTCTTCATCTTCCTCATCTCGGTCAGGAATATGGGCTATCTGTCGCCTTTCTTTGCCTTCATGTTTGGTAAATCTCCTCATCTGTGGATTTCCAATCAGCTTCATGAGGGCGGACAAAAAACTAAGGCATTCATCGGTGTTGTGACCTGGTGATCGATGGTAGTCACAGTACCGTGATTTGTCCAGCTGACTTTCGGGAGTCTTTACAGGTCGGGCTTCGGGAATTATCCCTTTTCCCTTGATCTCTTTATAAACTGTTGCGGCACCGACCGAGTAAATCGATTGGTACCCTGTGGTCAAGTCCTCCTTGTATTGTCTTCTAGCAGCTTTCATGTCTGTATCGTTGGGTTCACTCTTATACGGCTCCCTGAATGGTGGACTTTTGGACGAGTTGCCGAGGTGTTTCTTGTTCTTGTTTTCGGAAGTTGGTTTCTGACCTTTTGATGATGAGAACTCGAGGTCAGGAACCGACATGGACTCCTCGGCGATGACATGTTGTTGACCACGAACAAGGAATTCTTGAAAAGTGCTTGGTTTGTTTTGACATAGTGCCCAGCGAAACATGGATCTTGGCTTTAAGCCCGAAATTGCCGAGACAAGGAGCGTCTCCGGATGACAAGGTTCCATATTTTGCACGCGTTCATTGAAACGCGCAACGTAATCTTTCAAACTTTCGTCTTCCTTCTGGACTATACTTGTAATTGATTTCTTCGGTATTAAGCTCACTTGGGCCCCGATGAAATGGGACCTGAAAGCCGATCTAAGTTGACACCAATATCGGATCGATTCGGCCGGTAACGAATAGTACCACTTCTGAGCTTTAGGACCCAAGGTCAAAGAGAACATACGGCATCGTAGAGCGTCGTCGGCACCATGTAAGTCCATCCATGACGTATAATGTCTGAGGTGAGCGTTGGGGTCAGCGATTCCATCATAGAGACCAATTTGCGGGACTTTGACTTTTCCCAGCAGAGGGCCCCTGGTCAGCTCAGGTGCCAGAGGAGAATCGACTTCCACATAGACATGACTCGGCTCAGACACGCGGGGATGTGGAAGAGGCCTGATTTGAGTGGCCTGTCGGGCTTCCAACTCTGCTACCTTCCTTCTTAATGCCTCTACTTCGGAAATGTTACGTCGAGCGCAACGATTACGCTCAATTTGTTGTCGCAGGTCGGCCGAGTTCTCGGGTTGTTGAAACAGTGGCCGGACTGCATGGGGAACTCTGTGAACGTGTCCAAGATAACTTTCAGCGGTCATCTCTGGTTGATTCATCTCTGGAAGTTTCATTTTTGGCAAGTTCATTTTTGCCGGAAGTACGTTGTCCGCCGATGGGGGTGGTGGATTGTTGTTGCGTGGTTGTGAAGTTGCATGTGACGCAGCTTGATTGTTGTCACCCCTTTGTATGGGGGGGACTCGTTGTCTTGCCGGAGTTATCGGGGCAAGGGATTGTCCCGGCACCCTTCGTGACGGCCCTGGCATGGTTTGGGCCAGCAAAGTAGTGAACCCCCGGGCAAATTCTGGGTTCTGCATGAGCGTGGTGAGGTCCGGCATCACAGGCACCGGATTGTGTTGACAGGTAGGTGCCTCCAAAACGCGAACGACGCTTCCCATGGTCATCGGATTATCCTGTCCGGATTGCGACATTCTTGGCTTTTGAGATGTGGTGTATTTTTATCTCGAAAATTAACTCCAAATATCTTATGGAGCCCTCCTTCTAGCGCCAAAATGTTGATAAACGGATTTAACCAATGTAATTAAGATAAAAAGTACAGTAAAGATTGCAGAAAATATGATTTTTATTGAAGATATTAAAGTCGGTTACAGAATTGGAAAGTCAGTTTTCTCTAATACACAAAGTCGGTAGCAGAAAAAACCGAGATAATAAATGTATGAGTTTTTCTGTCTTGGAACCGAATCCTCGTATTGTCTTTAATGCTGCTATTTATAGTTATACTTGGCACACTTCCCAAGATAAATCAGCTTTATTTAATGAGGATTTGACGGCTCAGGGGCGGCAATGACATAGGCAGGCTTTTTAGGTGATGATGAGCATGGGCGCTCCTCTACCTGTGTGACAAGCGTCACTTCTGTCGGGTTGAAGTCGGTGTTATTCACGACGTCGGCTTATTGATAGAATTTTAGTCTTCCATGACCTCCGATAAGCTGGTCTCTAACCGAGGTGGCAATCTCGAGGTTTTAGTGTTTTGTCCTGATGACCTTTGGGAGTTACTATTTGTCTTTGGACGTCGTTGGGAACCGAGGTGGTATTTTCGAGGTGCCAATCTGATTCCAAATTTCATTGTCAAAGACCTGGTTCGTGGTTTGGCCTTTATGAAATCTTTAATCTGTCCTTTGTCACACGGTATCTGATTCTGATATCAACAGTAGGATTGTTATAAAATTATATGAATTATTTTTTTTATAATATGAATTTAATATCTTTTTATGATTTGATAATATAAACAAATCTATACTTACCTTTGACTTTTCCAGCAAAGGTAAGAAAATCGGTTCTGATTTTTATCCCATAATAAATCTTTAATGTCAAGGCTATAAATACCAAAACAAATTTGTAATTAATGTCATTCTATTTCCAACAAGCATTAACTACCTTTGACTTCTCTGCCTACTATTTCTAGCAAATAGGATAGCTTTTTATATAAGTATAAGATTCTCAATACATTATACCCTATGCCATCTTCTTTTTCTCTTAAGTTTAACCACTTAAGCATGACATTAAGAAAACAGTAATTTAAGAAAGAATTCAGCATGAAACAACATATTTTAACTCCAAAATTCGCTCTGCTGTGCAACCTCATTAACCAAAATATAATCAAGGCAAAGACACCTCCAACGCAGCACATAAAAGCTCCCTTATTCTTACATATTCAGCACATAAAACTCATCAAAACAGGGGTATGAAGGTTCAGTCGAAAACTACCTTTCTCGAGAATTCTCGACTGGTTGCTATTTGGTTAAGAGAGGACTCGGTTCGCTCGACGGACATCCCCGGAGACGGTCGACAAGTCCCGGGCTGCTGTCCGGTAACCGGACGTGGAAAAACAGGATGTTCGAGGCTCTCGGCAAGGGATCGACCCGCTTCTCTTCTCGCCCGGGCCCCGAAGGACTGCTGTGTTGGATTATCTGGCTTTCATAAGGGCATGTATCTGGGAGGAGTTTTATCTTAATTTTTCTTGCATTATTTTTCTGTTTTCTTTCTCTGCATTTTAGGTAAATGTCGTATAAGACTTATTGAAACATGTTTTATTTTGTTTTACTGTATTGGTTTAATTAGGATTGCCCACGTGTCATGTTCTTATTGGGTATTGTGGCTGATGTAATTTGTGGGAGTAAAACCATGTGAACTCTCGTCATTTTTCAGATCTAAAAAAAAATTACAGAGCTCGAAGCTCTTAGCTGCGATGGCTATTTGTTCCAGATTGTTCCTTTCTTTCGTTGGTTTTTGATTTCTTTTGGTTATAGCTCAAATATACATGGTATCTAGAGCCGGTTACTAATGGCGCAAAATCTAGAAGAACGAGAGCTCGTTGGAAGAGGCACTTATGCTCGCGATATAGATCCATTATCTCTACATGGTTCACACCATCCCGGGATGGTACTTGTTTCAAATCCGCTCACCGCAGACAATTATCTTCACTGGAGCAGGGCGATGAAGCTCGCACATGGAGCTAAGTCAAAACTGAGCTTCATCAATGGTACTGTTGAGGTTCCTGAGAAGGATTCACCGGAATATAATCAATATCAGAAGGTCGAATCTATGGTAATATCCTGGTTACTTAACTCTATTTCTAAGGAATTAGTAGAAGTTTTCATGTGTGTGAAATCAGCTAAGCAGTTGTGGGATGAACTGGCGGAATGATATGGTGAGAGTAATGGCTCGTTGAGGTATCAATTACAGAAAGAAATTGCTACTTTCTCACAAAGATCTCTTTCAGTAACAGCTTATTACACAAAATTAAAATGCTTGTGGGACGAGTATTCCTGTCTTGTCTCTCTCCCTGATTGTGTATGTGGTTCATGGAAGGCCTTTTCTGATAATGAGATGGAGATTAAACTTATGCAGTTTCTTATGGGTTTGAATGAGGTCTTTGAGCCAGCCAAAAATCAAATTCTATTGTTGGACCCTCTACCTACTATTAATAAGGCATAACCCATAATTTTAAAGGTGGAGAAACAAAAAAATATTGCTGCAGGAGGTTTTAACATGATGGAGTCATCTGTTATGATGGCTAAAGGGAACTATGGTCGAGGAGGTGGCAGAACTCAGGCATTTGGGCATGGTAATGGTGGTAGAGGCATGATGGGATATAATTTCAATAATGGACCAAGAGGAAGAGGTGGAGCTAGAATGAGTAGAGAAGAAAGAGCAAAGTTGTATTGCACTCATTGCAAATACAATGGACATGAAATAAATGGATGCTTTAAATTAAATGGATATCCAGATTGGTATAAAGATATAAAAGGACAAAGACAAACTGAGGATGCAAATTTGGTTGAGAGTGAAGATTCTTCAAGGGGAGATGCTGAAACTAAGTCACAAAATAGTGATTCCTCACCTGATATAAGTGCATTGATGCAAAGGGAGGTTGCTAAATACATGGCTAAACAGAAAGATTTAGAGACTCACAGTTTTTCTCATTTTATTGACCATTCTGATGGTAAAGAAAGCTATGCTTTTCTACTGATCAATAAGCTTGATAAAGGGGGCCTGAATAGTGGATACTGGTGCCAGTAGGCACATTTGTGCACATGCCGGCATGCTGCGAAATAGAGTGGCTACTTCTACACCTGTAATAGTTAATCTCCCAGATGGTACAAAGATAAAAGTCAATGAGGTGGGTGATGTGCAGGTGAGTGATCACATAACCTTGAAAAATGTTTTGCTCATACCAGACTTCAAATATAATTTGCTCTAAGTGGGACAACTAGTAGAGGATACTGGGTATTGTTTTTCTTTTTCGAGCAGAGGTTGTAAGCTTGTGGACCCAAAGAAAAATGTAAATATAGCGCATGGAAAAGCACTTGCAGGTTTATAGGTGATGAGTTGGCAAAATCACAATGTTAATGCAGTGAATGCGAAAGAAAATTTGAAACTGTGGCATAAGAGGTTGGTTCACACATATCTGAATTGCATGAAACATTTGCATTTCTTGTAAGATATTGCTACAACACAGGAGTTGGGAATATGTGATGTGTGTCACAGAGCAAAACAATGTAGGCTAATCTTTCCTCTCAGTCAAATACACATTAAAAGAAGCTTTGAATTGGTGCATGTTGATGTGTGGGGGCCACACAATGAGGAATCTTTAACCAACACCTCTTATATGCTCACTATTGTTGATGACTTTACAAGATCAACATGGATATATCTGATGAAATATAAGGCTGAAGTTTGTGGTCATATCAAATCATTTCTCAAGATGGTGGAGGTGCAGTTTGGTTTGAAGGTTCAACAACTTAGAACTAACAATGGAGGAGAATTCATGAATAAGGAGTTAGAAACCATTATTCAGGAACGAGGAATAATACATTAAAGAATGTTTCCATACACTCCACAACAAAATGGGGTTGTGGAAAGGAAACATAGAGCTATACTTGAGGTAGCTAGATCCTTGTCTTTTCAGTCAAGTTTGAAGAAAAATCTGTGGCCTTACAGCTTGTTGGCAGCGGTTCAGATTATCAACACTTTGCCAACTGCAAAAATTAGTTGGAAGAGTCCCTACGAGCTGTTACATGAAGTAAGGCCATCTTATCATATGCTCAGAACCTTTGGATGTTTGTGCTATGCTAGCAAAGTCATGCCACATAAGAGAAAGTTTGTTGAGAGAGCTATGGCTTGTGTATTTTTGGGATATATTTCTGGAGTTAAGGGGTACAAAGTCTATGGATTGGAATCTAATTAGGAAGTCTTTGTATCAAGAGATGTGATCTTTTATGAAGATACATTTCCTTTTGCTACAGAGAGTGCTATTGAAGAGCCAACTTCATTCGTTATACCTTTACCTGCTGTAGATGATGAAAGCTTCGTTGATGATTCCTCTTTATCACCATTGCCACAGAATCCTTCAGTTGAAACAGATTTGAGAAGAGGGACAAGGGTGAGGCAGATACCAAGCTGGCTCAAGGATTATGATGTTAACATGTCAGGTACTTTTCATACCTTTTTCACTGAGGTGAATAAAACTTTATTTGAGCCTATATTTTATGAGCAAGCAATTAAGGATGATAGATGGATAGAAGCCATGCAAAATGAGCTGAATGCTTTAGAAAAAAATCAAACTTGGGTGGTTACTACATTACCAAAAGGAAAAAGGGCTATTGGCTCAAAATGGGTCTATAAAATAAAGAGGAACCCGGATGGGAGTGTTGAAAAATTCAAAGCTCGATTGGTGGCGAAAGGATTTTTACAAAAGGAGGGTGTGGATTTTGTTGATAGCTTTTCCCCAGTGGCAAAATTGGTTTCAGTAAGAATGATCATTGCATTAGCCACACAAAGGAAATGGGAACGCCATCACATAGACATAAATAATGCTTTCTTGCATGGATTTTTGGACGAGGAAGTTTATATGTTGCCTCCAAAAGGTTATCATAAGGCTCAGAATGGACAGGTTTGCTTACTCAAGAGGAGCTTGTATGGATTAAAACAGGCGTCGTCAATGGAATATTAAATTTTCAGAAAAACTCATGCAATATGGATTTGGGCAATCACCCCATGACCATTGTCTCTTCATTAGGAGAAGTGGTGACAGATTCATGGCTCTCTTGATATATGTAGATGACGTGTTGCTTACAGGAAATTCCCTTATTGACATGAAAGAGCTTAAGGACTATCTCAATCACCTTTTTACTATCAAAGACTTGGGACAGGCAAAGTATTTTTTAGGCTTGGAAATTTTCAGAGATGCTGAGGGAACTTATTTGAATCAACGAAAATACATCCTGGATATGATACATGACTTGGGTCTGGATGATGCAAAGGCAATGATCACTCCACTTCCACAAGGCTTGAATTTATCTTCCATTCAGTCTTCACCATTTCAAAATGATGAGGCTTACAGGAGGCTTGTTGGCCGCTTGTTATACCTTAATCTTTCTCGAACCGATATCTCCTATGTCGTCCAGCAACTAAGTCAATTTGTAAAAGCACCTACACAAGCTCACTGGACAACAGGGTTGCATCTCATTAAATATCTTAAAGGAACTTGTACACTTGGCTTATTCTACGCAGCTTCTCATTCTTCTACTGTTGAAGCCTTTTGTGACTCGGATTGGGGAAGTTGTATTCTTACACGGCGTTCTTTGACTGGATACTGCATATTTCTTGGTCAAGCTCTCATTTCTTGGAAGACTAAGAAACAAAAAACTGTGTCTCGATCGTCTGCGGAAGCCGAATATAGGTCCATAGCAACAACGGTGTGTGAACTTTAGTGGTTATCCTTCTTGGCCAAAGACTTATCACTTTCATTGCAACTTCCGATTTCTCTTTGGTGCGATAATAGGGCAGCTCTTCACATCACGGCCAATCCAGTCTTCCATGAACTAACTAAGCATCTTGATATTGATTGCCACGTGGTCCGCAATCAATACAAAGATGGTTTCATTTGTCCACAACATATCACTTCTTCTCTGCAGCCGGCCGATTTATTTACCAAGTCCCTTGGAGGAGCAGATTCTACAAAGTTCATTGGCAAGCTGGGAATGCGTGCATTTTTCCACATTCCCACTTGAGGGGGGTGTTGGATTATCTGGCTTTCATAAGGACAAGTAGCTGGGAGGAGTTTTATCTTAATTTTCCTTGCATTATTTTTCTGTTTTCTTTCTCTGCATTTTAGGTAAAAGTCGTATGAGACTTATAGAAGCAGGTTTTATTTTGGTTTACTGTATTGGTTTAATTAGGATTGCCCACGTGTCATGTTCTTATTGGGTATTGTGGCTAATGTAATTTGTGGGAGTAAAACCATGTGAACTCTCGTTATTTTGGTTTTATTTTGGTTTACTGTATTGGTTTAATTAGGATTGCCCACGTGTCATGTTCTTATTGGGTATTGTGGCTAATGTAATTTGTGGGAGTAAAAAAAAATTACAGAGCTCGAAGCTCTTAGGCCATCTCCAACCGAATACTCCATACTCAAACCCATTTTGCAGTACTTATCCCATTTTGCAGTAATTCATCTCCAACCGAAAAACCCATTCTCCAACCCAAAAGAATATTCTCGGAATATTCTCTTTTACATCAACTTTTATAACTTTTCAATACTACCCACATATTTTACAACTTTACAAATTAAACCACACTATTATTTTTAATTCAATTTGGACTTTATGTAATATACTAATTATAAAGTAATAATCATATATATACATAATAAAATCGGATAAATAAATAGTCATTAAAATTAAAATTTAAAAATTACAACACACAAAATATTAAAAATTACAACGCACAAGATGATAAATTAAAAATTACAACACACAAGATAAAATTAAAAAATTACAACGCACAAGATGAGAAATTAAAAATTACCACACACAAAATAAAATTAAAAATTACAACACACAACATGAGAAATTAAAAATTACAACAATCAAGTAAACATAGATAGTCTTTCAAGTCTCGGAATTGGTGAATTCTTCCCACAGATGATCAATTAGTGCATTTCGAAGAGCAATGTGATCATCTTTATTTCTAATTCTTTTGTAACGAGATATGAATTCTTCAAATCGAGTACTTTCATCTACTGCCATTTCGACCTCCGGCGGCGGCGTTTCCATTTCAGTTTCAATTGGTGCACTTAGGTCACGTTCATCCTCGACAATCATGTTATGCAAAATTATACATGTGGTCATGATATCATGTAGCACTTCTTTTCGCCAATAACGTACTGGTCCTGCTACAATGCCAAAACGTGATTGAAGAACTCCAAATGCACGTTCAAC